CAAGGGAGAGTACGTGACACAGGAAGCTAGGCCTGGATACAGGAAGGAGACGTCTAGGGTTAGCACTGCACCAAGGGAGAGGACGTGACACAGGAAGCTAGGCCTGGATACAGGAAGGAGACGTCTAGGGTTAGCACTGCACAAAGGGAGAGTACGTGACACAGGAAGCTAGGCCTGGATACAGGAAGGAGACGTCTAGGGTTAGCACTGCACCAAGGGAGAGGACGTGACACAGGAAGCTAGGCCCGGATACCGGAAGGAGGCGTCTGGGGTTAGCGCTGCACAAAGGGAGAGTATGTGACACAGGAAGCTAGGCCTGGATACAGGAAGGAGACATCTGGGGTTAGCGCTGCACCAAGGGAGAGGACTAGACAAAGGGAGCTCGTTCTCTGCCGTCCCACTCCCACGTGGCACAGCCCCCTGCCTCAGGAGCATGTGCTCTGGCTACTTCCTCGTATCCTGTTCCTTCCCCAGTTCATCACAACTCCACATAGCACAGCCCCCTGCCTCGGGAGCGTGAGCTCCGGTTATTCCCCATATCCAGTTCCTATCCCAGTTCACCACAACTCCACATAGCACAGCCCCCTGCCTCGGGAGCGTGAGCTGCAGTTACTTCCTAATATCCAACTGGATATTGCCATAACCCCCACTTGGCAGTAGCCAACGTCAGACAATCCCTCACATCTGTTGATAGCTTGGAATTCTTTCTTTGAGAGAACTGCCTTTTTATGTCTGTTGACTATTATGTATTGAGGAATAGCTCATTTTCTTATATTTTGAAATTCGTTCTTTATGTTTCTAGAAACTAGTGGCAATGTTTTTTTTGTTTGTTTGTTTTGTTTGTTTTTTTACCTCAGTTAACTATTTTCCTTCTATTTTAATTACAATGATTTTGTTTGTACAAGTACTTTTCCTTGTCTGGACATGAGTTCATGTCATATCCATAGCTATGAAAAGTATTTTTTTCCTTGATACTGTCATTTATTTATTATGTGATTGTTTATATACAGATTATATCAATCTGGAACTTATTTTGGTCAAATAGTGACTCCTTCCACCAAGAGTTGCAGTTTTTAGGTTTATCAAACATTATTACCATGTTTGTTGCTTTTGTGCATTGTATATGTTGTGTACTTAATCTATTCCACAAAGTGACTTTTCTGTATTTAAGCCAGTACCAGATAGTTTTGATACTTACTGCATAACGGTATAGTTTGAGATCTTGTACTTCTAGACCTTCTTCCTTCCCACTTTTTCCTCATTATTTCCCTTCAGAATTTTGACTTTTTCTCTTTCCAAATGAATTTTATTATTACTATAGCTCTATAAAATAACTCTTTGATAATTTGACTGGTACAGTGGTCATTTTTTTATATATGGGCAGAGACCAACCACATGCAATTAATATTTCTCCATTTATCTATGTCTGTATTTATTTTTGGAAACAAGATTTGTAGTTGTAGTCATAGATTTCCTATGTGTGTCTTGGTAGATGGATTCCTAAATATTTTGAATATTTTTATTACCATCATTGTCAACAAGCATCTGCAAAAAGTGACATTTTGTTTCTGCTGAACCACTGCTTATTCTCTCATTTTCTTTTTCTTGTCATGTTGCTGTGGCTATAGTATTTCTAGCACTGTGTTAAACAAAATAATGATAATGAACAGCCTTGCAACAAGCCTAATCTTATCTGGAAAGGGCTCTGGTTGATTTTCATTACCTATAATGTTGGTTCTTCATTTAAAGAGAGATGCTATTTAACATATGTAGGAAAAGGCTATTTTCCCTGTATCTCTTATTGTTTTTAACATAAAGGGGTGTTGCATCTTGTCAGAAGCTTTTTTTTAGCATATATTGACAAAATTGTATAATTTTGATTGTTTTGTTACTAATGTGGTCTGTTATTTTTATAGTTTTTCTAATATTGAACCAATATTATATTTAATGTAAATCTTAACTTTCTCATACTATAAATTTTTTCTCTAAGTTATTATAACCTATTTGCTACTGTTATATTTTAAATATTTGCATTGATATTCATTAGTAATATTGGTCTGTAGTTTCTTTTCTGTCATTTGACTTTCCTTGGTTTCAGTTTTGTTTTTCTGATATTGGGTCATTCAGATTTTCTTTTTATTGTCCTGGTAATCTAGGTGATTTAAATTTTGTTGATGTTCATCCGTTTCACTGAAATTGTCAATTTTGTTGGCATTTAATTGAAATTTCTTTTATTCTCTGTTTGTGGTGATTTTTCTTTTTTCACTTTTGATTCAAGCAATTTGATTTTCTTTTTTATCATCGAGTTAAGGGCTTATTTAGTTTCTTATTTTTTAAGATAGCTTCTTATTTTATTTACTAATTGAATGATTTTAAAATTTTTTTTCTTTGATTTTTACCATATCTATTTTATGTTTTTTGTTTTTTAGGGGGGTTTTTGTGAGGAGGTAGTGTTGTTTTTTTAGGGTTTTTACTTTTTGTTTGTTTCATACCCAATTCACTGTTCTAGTCTTTCTCTTATTTATTGTTGAAAGTGTATAGATTTTCTAGTGTTAAATTTTTTTAAGTATTTAAATTTGCTACTTAGAACTGTTTTGGGAGATTGCTAACAGTTTTGCTATGTTCTCTTTTTATTTTATTTGATGAAACAATATTGTTTTTAATTCTTTGACCTATTAATTCTTTAGATTAAGTTATTTAGTCTCCAAATCATTTTTAATACTTCTTTCAAGGGCCTTTATAATTTTTTTACATTGTGGCTCATAAAGAATATTTTAAAATATTTCTGTTTTTCCACATTTTTGAGGTTATTATATTAGAGGTATATTATATGTAATATATATATTACAAAAACTGGCCAGTTTTTGTAAATGTGCCATGCAGAGCTGAGAAGTATGTCTATTCCTTTTCCCATTCAATAAACCAGAGATCTATCATATCTGACTTTTCTAAAGTTCTTTTCATGTCCTTAGCTTCTTTATGAACTTTGTCTAACTCTGAAATAGATACATTGAGGCCCCCAAGTATTATAGTTTTATTGTCTCTTTCTCCCTGTAAGTCAATTAACTTTTCCTATAGTAGTTAGATACTGTTACTCAGTGCTTATACATACTTAGGATTGTATATTTATTCATAGTTCATGGTGTTTTTAAGTAAAATGTAATTTCCTTTTCATCCTTTATAACCACACCTCTCTTCACTGTTGCTTTGTCTAAAATGATGATTGCTATCCCTGATTTTTTTAGTTCAGCTAAACATAATAAATTATACTCCTTATTTTAATACTGTGTGAATCTTTGTATTTCAAGTATGTTTCTTGTAAATAACATTGTTGAATTCTGCTTTCTAATCTGTTCTGCATTCTTTTTCTGTTTTATAGGCAAATTCATCCTACTCATGTTTTTGTAATGATTATTAATCATGTATATCTCTCTATTCTTTGTTCTTCTGTGTTTTCTTCTCCTTACCCCATCTCCCTCTTTAGGAACAAGAAGGTAGAGAGAAAAAAGTGTCCTCAGTACTAGTAAATGATATGCCGCTCCACTGCCCCTTTCTCTTTTCTGTGCCCAAATCCCACTCATAGATTTTTGTCCTTTCTCTCTTTTTCTTTAATCCTCACTTCCAGTCTGTCTTAATCAACCTCAAAATTGTAGTGCATTTTGCTTGTGACTACTCTTACCTCTCTAATTCTATTCTCCCTCTGGAATCCCTCCTCTCCCCTAGCATCTCTTTTCCTGTTTCTGTTCCTCTTGAGTTTGACATTTTTCTATACCAAACACGTGTGTGTGTGTGTGTGTGTGTGTGTGTGTGTGTGTGTGTGTTTTCAACCACTTTTTGTCCGGTTCAGATGAAAGTGAGATTCATGTGATACATGCTTCCCCCCACCCCTTCCTTCATGCAAAGTCAGTCGCCCTCCCCCTTGTCTTCCCTACTGTATACCCTTCCCAACCCTTCCCTTTTTTTCACTTGAAATCATCAGAACAGAACAAAATCATCCCTAACCCCTCTTTCTTATTTAATTTCTTTTATTTTTATAGACATTAGGATTCTAAGCAAATATTTGTCTTCTCTTTCCTCTATAATGCATTTCATCATTGTATATTCCCTTCCAATTGCTCAATATATTTACCTTCCTTAGTTTCTCTTGACTTCTGTGTTTTCAGAGATTCTGTTCAGCTTTTGTCTTTTTATCAGGAATGCTTGAAAGTCCTCTAATTCATTAAAAATCCTTTTTAAGTCTGTATCTTTTGCCTTTTGGAATATCATATATTCTAAGCTTTTCTGTCCTTTACTTTGGTAGCTGCCAAATCTTGGATGATCCTGACCATGGTTCCTTGGTATTTGAACTTTTTCCTTCTGGCTGTGCATAGTATTTTTTACTTTTAGCCTACAAGCTCTGGATTTGGTCCATAATGTTCCTGGGAGTTTTCATTTGGTGGTTTCTTTCAAGAGGTGACTGGTTCTAATGGGTCTGGGGCCATTTTCATTTATGATTTCTTGGAATAAAATATCCTGATTTTTTTTGTCATGATTGTTAGTCAAATTGTTAGATTAACTCTCTGTAATCTGTTTTCTAAGTGAGTTTTTTTATTAGGAGATACCTTATATTTTCCTCTTTTTAAAATTCTTTTCACTTTATTTTAATATTTCTTCTTATATCCTGGAGTCATTTATTTCTTGGAGTCATTTCCAAGGGGTCTGTTACTTGTATAAGATTTCATATCTCCTGTACTAAACTATTCATTCTTCTTCCAATTCTTTCCTCCAGAGTTCTAATTTAATTTGTACATATTATGTTTATTTCTTGTTTCATCCCTTCTAGAAATTTTAATAGATCTTGTGGGCAATTTATACCTCTGTCTGAGGTTCTGCCTGTAGTCTCTGTAAACTTAGTCTCTTCCTCTAGACTTGTACAGTGAAAGTCCTTGAATGCCTTTTTTTTTTTTTGTCATAAATGTTTTCTTCTGTTTATTCTTATTTCACACTTTCCTTCCTAAATTAGGACTTTTTGTCATGGCCTAGTCTGACTGCTCCTGTCCACTTGATTAGAATGGTGGCCCCCCTGCCTGGTCTTCAATTGTGTTCTCACTGACTCCCTAACACTCGTGCCTGCAGGTCCCAGGTTCAGCTGTATCCACTTTGTACAGAATACTGAGTTTTTTAAGGCTGTCAGTTTGTACATTGGTATTGTAGCTGTAGCTACAAACTTTCAGTGCCTAGTGTAATGTGAACTAGTCCTCCAAATAGGAAGTTTGCCTCTTTTTCTGGCTCCCTTCCTAGTCCATGCTACTCAGGTGCTTAACCACCCTAGCTGTGAATTCCTCACTGTAGCACTGAGGTCTTCTGGTCCTGTGGGACAGGGCCTGACTGCCTGCCCTAGTTCTCCCAGGTTTGAGCTGTGAGAGGCCATGGGAGCTGGAAAACTTCCCAGCACTGTGCTCACCTCACCTTGGGTCCTCTGGCTAGCTTCCCCTCAGTGCCTGCCCTCTTCTCAGTGCCCCCTTCTGCTGACCTTGGGCTTTTACCTCTAATTGTGCTACCTGCTGCTCTTGATTTTTGTTGCTTGATAAATTAGCATTTACCTTTTTTATTTTCTTAAGGCTTTTTTTTTGGTTCGTTGTTCTTTTGTAGTGCATAAATTCACCTTTTTGATACAATGGCTAGATGAAGATAGCGTGGTTTTTCTCTTTATTTCATAATCAATTAGTGCTCTTGTCTTTTCTGGAGTACATGTATAAGAGTTTTACTTTTGACTGAAGAGATCTCACATTTTTTCCACCATTGTTCTCTTTTGACTTTGCTGTAATAACTGTATTACATCTTTGAATTTTTGAATTCTGTCTCCTCTGTTCTTTTTGTGGGTGTCTCCTGCTCGGCCAAGGTTTTCTAACTTCTGTTCTAAACCACCCATTCTCATTTTGAGTTTCTCATTGAGAGCTCTAATTTCCCTCTTTATCTTTTCCCTTGATTCTTTTACTAGGCTTTCCAACAATTCTTAGGGTTGTTATGTGTGTTATATCCCCTTTCTGTGATTCTAATTATTGCGGAATTATTCTCTACCTTCAGAGATTTCTCTTAGTATTCCCTATACTTTGTCTTTTATTGCCTTAGGAGTTTTCTTTGCTTGTTCGTTTCCTAGGTCTCTACTGATTTTTCTGTAGGGATTTCTTCCTTTCCTCCTCTTGTAGTTGTTATTATTGTTTTAATTCATTTAGTGCACTGCTAGATTTTTTTGAGATCACAAGGGGGAACTTGGCTTGTATTTTTATCCTACGTTTTTGCCGCAAGATGCAAAACTGTCTTGTCAAGATATATGTCTTAGTGTCCCACACTGAAATTTGAGTCTCTGATAAACATAGATGTGTTCTCCTGTATTAAAATACATTGAGTAGCATCATGCACCCCAGTAAACAAAGAGATCAGTATGTCTGCTAGATACTAAAAGTACTTGTTGGCTCCGCTTGACCTTCGGAATCAAAGGGAATGTCTTCTGGATTTTGTCTCTGTCTCCTCCAGTAGCCATATTTCTTCACCATTTTGGTAATGTGCATTTTAAAAGAGGATCCCATAAAAGCATATAGGATTGGGTTGAGACAGCTATGAAAAAGGGCCAAGCTTTTTGTGATTTGTATGGCCACATCCATGCGCTTACTCATTTCACAGTCGATAATCAATGAATAGATGATGTCCATGGCTTGCCAGAACTTGACTATGTTGTATGGCAGCTGAGTGACAATGAAAACAACCACTACTGCTAGTAGAACCTGGAGGGGCCGAGATTTCTTTATGTTGGGTATCTTGATGAGTGTCCTGGCGGTCAGAGAATAGCAAACTGCCATTATGAGAAAGGGCAATACAAACCCTATGCAAATTTCCAGGATCTGAATTGATGCCTTAATTGTTGTTCCTAGGTGGTGTGAAAATATAGGCAGGCATCTCTTCTTATCGTTCACTGTATTAAAAACTAGTTGAGGTACGCTCAGCAGTATTGCAATGAGCCAGACACTGACACAGATAATCCAGCATGGTTTTCCAACTCTTTGATGACCTGGGACTTTAGTAATCGCAGAGTATCTGTCTATGCTGATGCAGGCCAGAAACTGCATTCCGGAGACAAAGTTGATGGTGAACAAGGCTGAAGTCAGTTTGCACATTGGTATTCCTAGTACCCATCCATGCACTGCATTCGCTGCCCAAAAGGGCAAGGTGATGAGCAGAAGCAAATCGGCCACTGCCAGATTCATGATATACACATCAGTCTTGGTTTTCTGTTTCTTGTAGTAGGCATAGATAGCCACCACTGTGGAATTTCCTGCAATTCCAGCAATAAAAGCCACTGTGTAGAAGACAGGCAGGAATACCTTGGCAAAATTTCTGACCTCCTCTTTGACACAGAGTATTTCATACTGACTATAATCCTGAGTGCCGTTGACTTCATTTTCCTCATAATAGTAATCTGTGGACTGATTGTGTTCCAGATTCATGGTCACAATCTAGAAAGTAGATACAATAGTGGGGCATGTTACTAGTCTGTTAGAGCACTATGCAAAAGAAAACCTGTTTTTATTTCACATAGTTTTCATTCCTTGTGAGAAAATAAGCTTTTGCTCTTTTCATAGTCAATAATCAGTGAGTAGATGATGTCTGTGGCTTGCCAGAACTTGACAATGTAACATTCCTTGGAATGAAATTACTTTTTTTTAGTAGGCTTAGTTAACTTCTGTCAAACCCACGTTGGATGCATATCCACAGAAACAATTATTTAGTACTTTTGTTCTTTTTTGAGGACTGTCAGAGGGATTGGAAATATGCCTTAATTTGCAGTGGGGAGATGGAATAAATATGTTACTGATCTTTCTTACTGTTCAAACACTAAGCAAAAGTATGAGAGAATTTTATTTAAGAAAACTAAGAACTCTTTGACAATTGAGCCAGCTCTAGTAGAGTCCATTCACTCACACAAATTAAGAAATATCACAGAAACTCTTACAAAATCCTCCCACCACCACTGACAAATGAACTCAAAGTAAGCATGTAAAATGAGGTGTAAAAGGTTAGTTAAATTCATCTCTCAGCAGCCAGACTCAAAAAAAGCACACGAGCCATTTTTGCAGTTATATCTCTCTCAGATTTTGCTGTCTGTTCGGGAGGTATTAGCACCTGTTAAATATTGTATTTGGCTAGATACTTCTCTCCCAACAATAAGCTATCATAAACGTGCTTGGCCATTAGGAACTATGCTGTCCTTAACAAAAATTATAGGAGCTTTCAAAGTTTTGATTTTTTTAAAAAAAGAATCATCATATTCTCCCATAGATTTTTTGTAAATTTTGTAAACTTGTAAATTTTCAGATAATAAGCCTGTGTAATCAAGAATGAAAGCACAATTCTAAAATAATTGGCACAGATATCTGAATTTTTTTCTTTCAAAAGAAGAGTCTTACATTTTTCCTACTATTTTAAATAGAGAAAGTGGGGTACAATAAAGCTCTTAGAGGGGAGGAGGCGCTACATAAATATAAACTACTTTCATTAAGCAGTATCAGGGTATTAATGAATTTGACTGTTTTACTTAAATTCATTAAAAATTACTTAGATGGCTTTTCATCTTTTCTTAGTACACTATTTAGCAACACAGCATAAAAAATTAATATTAATTACTTCAGTTCAAAGAAATCTTGATGGAAAACACAGTTATATCACACAGAAAACATAGTCTTCAAAAAGTTCCAACTCAAGTCATTAGTGTTCCTAAAAGCATAAAAGCAAGACTGGAAAGTATAAAGAGAAGGCTAGTTTGTGGCAGATGTTGCTTATAGAAACCACTACAACTGTAGAATAAAATAATTTAAAACAGTGGTATGTTTTTGCCTTCCTAATAAAATAAGAGAGAATGACATGTTTTTGGAATTCTTTCTGTATAATACGACTTTAACTGTAAAACAAGAGGAATGATATTTTTATTCTGCCACTGATCTTTTTTAAACTTTAAAGTGGAAGAAAGAATTGTTTTTACAAATGACGCTACGTTTTGACTGTGTACCTTTAAATCCCTCGGCAAAGTCATCCCCTTTAAATATGTAAATAAAACTATCTGTAGGTTAAACGTGCTTCTCAGAGTTGGAATGAGTAAGAAATAACTGACCTGTTCCGGAGAGCTGCAGAGCAGGGGCTTGTCAGAGGGAGTGAAGTCAACTGTCAGCTCAGCCTAATTCATTCCACTTTTGGTCTCAGTTTGACACCACGCCTCTAGGTTTCCCAGCCAAGAGAGCCTTCATTTACATTTGAATTTTTGTTTCTAATTATCTTCCAGGAAACTAACTTCAGGAAAACTTGCAACACATTTTGTTTGATTGTTACACGCTAATATACATCCCGGGTGCCTGAGTTTTCTGGGAAATGAATTTGAAAGAATATCATCTCATTCGAAAAAAATACAAATCTTGTAATTATACCCATTGCTGCCAAAAATACAAGAAAGTAGCTGCAGATGTAACTGAAAGACCAAAATAGAAAATCACTCAAGGGCATCAGTGCAGATGAAATTACATAGCCTTGTAACATTAAATGGTAGTTTTCTCTTTTACAAGGAAACGTCAGTCTTTATCTCTTAAGTAGTCGTCTGATGCCTGCTAAAAGGAAATAATTGCAATTGAGAACAAACTCTCAAAAAAGCTATTTTTGTATCTACTATTAAATCTTAAACAGTTATTAGATACAGTTTAATATTTTGTTTTTGCATTGTAGTTTTACTTGTATCCTTCATACCCTGTCTCTTTCTGGCTGCACCAATCAGCAAGTATTTATAAAGCACTTACTATGTTTCCAGACACTGTGCTAGGCACCAGAGATACAGATACAAAGAAATGAAACAGTACCTTCTTTAGGAGACAAGTACAGACATAAGTATATTCACAACAAATATAAAAAGAAAAACACAGTTAAATACAGAGTAGATAAATACAGGGTAGCTTAGAAGGGAGGATACCAGTGGTTGGGAAGGGATCAAGAAAGGCTTCCTAAAGAACAGGTCAGCAAAGGAAGGCCAGGGCCAAATCCTGGTTTTGTGGCTTGGGAGCAAAGAATGGTTTTTCATTTTTAAATACAATAAAACTTTATTTTAAAATGTCTACTTGAAGGCCGTAGGTTATCAACCCCTAAAGAAGGTGGTGTTTGAGCTGTGCCTTGAAGAAAGAACAGTGGAAGGAAGAAGGGAAGGAATTCTAAGCCTAGCAGAGATGTGGCTGGTTTGGCTGTGTCCCAGACTGTGGGAAAGAATAGTGTCTTAGGAACCTGAAAATAAAAGGTGGTGAAAAGTTTTAAAAGCTAAGCAAAAGAGTCTGAATACTAAAGTCAGTACGAAGCCACTGAAGCTTGCTGAGTAATGCAGTGACCTGGTCAGATCTGCACTTAGCAAAAATCACTTTGGCTGCCCTGTGTAAGATGGACTGGCATGCCCATGTGGAGGGACTTGGGGTCCTGCTTTGACTGCAGAGTTAACCTTTTCAGCGCTACCATGGAGTAAGCTTGTAGCTGAGGCCTGTTGATTCTGCCTCCAGAGCATTTCTTAGTCTGAGCCCCCCTTCTCTCTGGCTCAGCCAACACCCTGTGGCTGGCCCAGAGGTCTCACACCTGAACTATTTCAGTAGTCTACTGATTGATTTCCCTGCCTCCTCTTTCTGCAATTCAGTTGATATTCCAATCAGCTGTCAAAATTGGTCTTTGGAAATCTCAGGTCTGACCATGTTGTCCCCTGCTAAGTAGACTCCTGTGGTTCCCTATTACTTCTGATATTAAATATAAAATCCTCTTGCATTCAATGGCCTTAATAACTTGCCCCACCCACCTCATCCCACCCACCTTTCCAGTGTCTTCACACCTTTCTCTCCTCCACTCTCTCCTTACTCTGCCATCTAATAACACTGGCCTCCTTGCTGTTCCTCACACAAGACAGTCCATCTCCTTCCTCTGCATTTTCATTGTTTGTCCCCCGTGCCTGAAATTCGCTTCCTCCTTCCCTCTATTAGAAGCCTGTCCTGAGCCCTATTGATATTAGTGCCTTCCCTCTAACATTATCTCCGGTTTGTCCTGTGAACAACTAGATTGAAATTAAGGAGAGTTTGAATAATGTGAAATTAGATTTAGTGTGGATTGCAAAATAATATCAGGCCATGTTTAACGCAAGCCAAAATTGTTTTGGTGCCATGCTTGTGAGTTGATCAAAGTTTTTAACATGTTTTCTCATCAGTCTGCATTTGTCTCTGATCACTTGTGACTGTGATGTGCTGTATACCTTATTACCAACAGTCATGATAAGGTTTTTTTTTAAAAAGCCTTTAACAAAATGAGGAACAGGCAGAATATTCAGATGGAAACACTGCCAGAGTAAAAAAGAAGATACTTGTTTTTACATTAGAACAAAAATTATAATTGTAATTGAACAACATGAGGGGTGGCCATAGTAGCTTAAAAAAGGACAAGATGTCAAAATAGCTGAATCTACAGTATGGGATATTATAAAGTACAGAGGCAAAATAAGAGAGAGAAAGTCACACAAGCTTTTTGTGGTTTGCAAACCACTACAAGGAATTTCCAGTGTTACAATGTTGGAAGTGTAGACAGTGATAGAAGTGGGGCGTCTTTCAGCCATATGGACTGAAGATTGCCATAAAAAACACATCCTCTTAATAAAGTAGCCATTCAGAAAAAGGAAATGAAGTGGACAGTGAAGAAACTTTTACTGCAAGCTTTGATTGGTTCATTCACTTTGAAAACTGACATAACATTAAAATTATATCACATGATGTTAAAATTACAGAAGAGACATAGTGCAAATGAGGACGTGGTAGCTAAATATCTTGTTATTTTGAAGAAAATAATTGAAGAAGGTAGAGTCATGGATTAACACATTTTTAATGTGAATGAAATGTGTTTATTCTGGAAATTGACATATGTCTTTTGGAACTTACATTTCTAAGAAAGGAAACACTCAGCCTGAATTTAAAATGTCTAAAGATGGGAGATAAGGCAGAAGGGGATTCTTATAAAAAGCAATGCTTGGTTTTCAGTTTCAAAATCCTCATGCTCTGAGAAGCTGCTAACATTGATTGCTTCCATTTCTTTGGCAATCAAATAAGGCTTGGATGATGAAAGACTAGTTTTCAAATTTTTTTAGCTGTTGAAAAATATTGTAAGAAGAGTACTATCCCAAGCATTAGTGATTTTAGATAATGGTCCATTTCATGCAGCTGTACTTGGTTTATTGTGAGAGAACATAAGCTTACAAATTTGAGGAGTAGATGAAGCTCTCTGTACTTAGCAGCATATGCGTGAAGCTTTAAAGAAAGAGAAGACAGTTCCTGCAGTATAAGGTGAATGTTTCTAGCAATAAAATGACATTTTCATCCTATCATAAATCTAGGCTTATTTTTAAATGTGATATTCAGTATTTTTTTTAAATTTTGCTTTCAGTAACTACTTTATTGTTTATAATAAACTTGAATCAGAAATACATTTTCCTTTTCCTTTGCTATTCTTTTAATAGATTAAAATTTTGTTTTCACAAAATTTTAACTATATGTTTCCATTGAATTTGAAATTAAATTTTACATATAATCGTAACTTCAAATAGCATGAATTTAAATAATGTGACAGTTTTGAAGAATTCATTATTCATACTAGTTGGATCCTAGGCGGATTAAGACAAACAGAAGTTTAAGTGACTTGCCCAGGGTCACACAGCTAGGAAGCATCTGAGGCTAGATTTGAACTCAAGTCTTCCTGACTCCAGGCCCAGTGCTCTATAAGCTGAGCCATCTAGCTGCCTCTGACACCTAGTGGGTACTTAATAAGTGCTAGTTGACTTTACTTGATTCTCTTATTCCTTATTACGTTACCTGAAGTACCCAACATTCAATAAAGGTTTAAAGCACTGTGCTAAAGCAATAGAAAAGTAAGGATACAAAGAGGCAGTCAGACAGTCTCTGCCCTCAAGGAGCTCATGTTCTAGTAGGGGAGACAGTTCCTATGGAAGATTTCAGGTGCAAGTCAAATGGAAAGGTCCCATGGTCTTTGGGGTACAGAAGCAAAGTGTATGGTCGTCTCTTCTTTCACTTCATTTCCACTGATAAAATTATATCAGTTTCTGATGCTGAGCCATTTGACACAGGTAGAGCAGCATTGCTTTTCCCAAAGCTCTTGGCTTCAGGGTCCTGGGCTATTTCCCATCAGAGACTTAGGGGAAATGGCAGTCAAGGTGGTGATGGTGGTTTGACCTGCTTGGCAGCATGTGCTGCCTCCTGTCTCTCCCTTGTGGTGCCCGGCTGCTTCAGATAGGGTGGCTCGTCTGACCTGGTCATTTGGCAGTTGGTCAGGATGGCCACCCCGTCTCTCGAGGAGCCGCCTCCCCAGATGATGGCTTTGAGAACTGGGCCAGGGGGCAGCTAGGTGGTGCAGTGGATAGAGCACCGGCCCTGAAGTCAAGAGGACCTGAGTTCAAATCCAGCCTCAGACCAAACACTTGACACATACTAGCTGTGTGACCTTGAGCAAGTCACTTAACCCCAATTGCCTCACAAAAAAAATAAATAAATCAAAGAGAACTGGGCCAGAAGTAGTACCTACCTGTGGGCTGGTGGGGATAGGTGTGGGTGCTGCCACTCAGAGGCTCTGTTATCCACTGTTTAGTGGTAATTGGCCAGTGGTAGTGGTGATGAGGCAGGAGGGCACCCTCTCCACCATGATCTCTCCCTTCAGCCGTAGCTTAAACATATTTGTTGGAATGAATCCAATAACTTCTTTTGCCCTCTTGCCCTCTGACCCCATGCACTCATTAATCTTTGAATGGGTCCCATGGCATAAGGAAAAGAGCCCTGAGTGAGGATCCTGGAGACAGAAATTCCAGTCTTAGGACCTAACTTCTCTGAGCCTCACGTTGCTTGTCTGTGTCATGAGGGAGCAGGACTGGCCCACCAGCAAAGGCTTAATTTTCCTCCTGGAACTGTTGTTTTCTCAGGGTGGGGAGCTCACTCCCTCCACCATCCGGAGTGGATAATCTTAGAGAGTTCCCTCCAGCATTGAGAGGATCAGTTACTTTCCCAAAGCTGTGTGGTTAGCATCCAAAGCCAGAAAGGAACCCAGGACTTCCTGTCTCCAAGGCCAGTCTGATGTACCACACTGCCTTTCACTTAGATGCTTAGAAAGGTAGATAAATCTGGTGATAAGGAGTTTGAGAAAATCAAACACCCCACCTTTTCCATGGAACTGCCCCCCCATAATGAAAAGATAACTGTTGAGAATTGGGGGGAAAT